ATCCCGTCACGCTCCTCTCTTCCCTGGATTTTGATCCCACGGCTGGAATAGGTGCAGCTGGAGCCCGTCAGCCGGATGGCAGCGGCTGCATGACCGAAAAAGGTCTCGCTGAGTAAACGGGAGGCCCCGTGCGCGCGGCTGCGGCCCCGTTATGTAACAGGCAGGAGCCTTTTTTGGAGCCGAGGGGAGAGGCGGAGGGGCTGGAAGCGGGGGACGATCCTGGAGGCCAAGTGGAAATTCCAGCGGCCGCTCCGCACGCCCGTAAACAAACAGTCGGACTGCACACCCCTCCGCCGTCCGGCTGTCTTCCCTGCGTTGGGAAGGGAGAGCCATCCCCGCTCCGGGGAGCACATGGGCTCCGGGGCTTTCTGGGGGAAGAGCCGGAAGCGTCTGGAGAATCCAAGGGCTTTTTAGAGCCGGCGAGTCGATCCGGTGCTAAAAATACGAGGCTGGAGCGTGGCCGTGTCCCCGCTGGCACGTTGGTCACTAGGTCAGGAGTCTGCCACCGTCCCCAGGGCTCCTCGGGAGCCAAGTTCCTGTGCAGGGAAACCAACCTTCTCGTGGCATCTCCCTCCTGCTCGCCCAGCTCGCCTGTTTGTCCTCCGTTAAGAGCAGCAGCGATCGTGGGCCTGCAATGTGTCAGCACAAGTGGTTTTCAGGACTCTGTGCCTGTAAAGCAAATAAAAATCAGCTGGGACGTGGGTCTCGATTCAGCTGTTTCCAAGCACCTGGAAATTTTGGATTGCGCTTTGCATCTCTGTCCCAAACAATTTTATTTTCTTTTTTCCCCTTTTCTGAAAGCATTGGCCTTCCAAAAGCAGCCACTAGACTAGAGCTTGGGGCTTCGACGGCGATTGCAACATTATTTTAACTGCATCTCTCTCGACTCTGTTTCAGCAATCAGATGCGTGCCAGCGTTTTCCCATGCCTTAAAAACTTCCGATTTCCGAGAGAGGAAGCAAGGGGGAAAAGGGTTGAAAGGAAATATGCCCCCTCCTTGCTTTGGTTTTGCTTGGCTTGTGAAGGGTTAATGGTGTTTGATGTATTTTGCCTCTGAAGTGGGCTAATGAAGCAATCTGCACCGAGCAGGGCCTGGCCGAGACAGCCTGGCCTCTCCCTGGGGCACCACTGAGAGCTTAGTTGGCTCCGTAAATCCTCGATGAAGATGTTATCGAGAGCCGGGATATGCCTTGGGAAAAACCAGGGATTTTTTGGGACCATTCTTCCTTTCCCCCCTTGCTCTGAGCCCCACAGTGTTGCAAGGAGATGGAAAAGCAAAGCAGAGGCGTTTGCAGCAGGGAAAAGGTGTTAGAGCTACAGGCTGTGGTCCCGCTTCCAAGGAACCAAGGGATGGGCGCTCGGATGCCAACGCCGCCTCGGTGAGCACTGCAGGTTCCCAAGATTTCCCACTTTTTGGGGTGAAACCACCCACATTTCACCCCAGAAAGCAGGAGGCTGGCGAGACGCCGTGTTTTGAGGCTGCTGTCCCCTGCTCGGGCGCTCCGGGGCCGTACGGAACGCCTTGTCCGCGGCCCGCGCGGTCGTAAACATTTTATAGGGCCGCGGGCAAGGAGCGTTTCCAGGAAGGCGAGAGGATAGTTTACTTTTTGCGTGTGTATTTTTGGCCGGGCGTCTAAAAGGATGCTTCGTGTTTCTTGATTTATGGAGAACTTGATGCTTTTTTTCCCCTTTATTTTCTCCTTTTGTTTCCTTTCTCCACCAGGAGAAAGCATAATTGTTCATGTTTTGGGTCTTCACCACAATCAGAAATAGTGATTTTTGGGACCAAGCAAACCATCCCTCTTTGCAACTGATCTGGGCAATTCTCATCCTCGATTTCATGGCCAGGAAGAGCAGAGATTTACCAGTTTCTAGTAGCTATTTACAAATTTGAGGGCTCTCACATCTGCCTCCATTGCAGCTCTTTGCAGGTGCAGGTGAATCCTCCAGCTTGTCCCCCAAAGCCCCAGCTTGCAGGAACCAGCTAACCTCAGGTCTGCACACTTGATTTTTTTCCCAATGTGGACTCCTAACCCATCTGGACCATACGAAGTCCCACCTTAGCAGCCCATGGTGTTTTAGGGCCAAGGTACGTAGCCCCCATCTTGTTTCTTGCTTCCAGGCCGCTCTCGCCATATAGGGCCCCTTGAGCTGACCTTGGCGTTCCAGCTTAAGCCATGGCATTAAAACAACTCGTTTTTAGCAGCTATTTGATTCCCCCGTGGGCAGCTATTTCAAACAGAAGACCCTTACGGCATGGGCAAGTTATGCACCTCCAGACTGACGTCCAGGGCCCCGTAGCCTCCATGCTCTGTCCCTGCCTTGGGTGTTATCACGATATTTGATAGTCCAGGAGGTCGGTTCCTCTCCGTTTCTGGTCCCTACTTGAAGGCGCAGACTTAGATAGAAGGCCAATTTGCCGTAGAAATCTGGGTTTCTATGATTTCTACTCCCTCCTGAAATCACAACTGCAGTTGTCACAGCACAGGAGTTTGTTTATATTTTTTTGCTCTTGGTGCGTGTGTGTAAAAGTGTTTCTTTTAGACCTTGTTGCCCAGTTTTGGGGACTTTACGACAATAACTGAGCTGAAATGGAGTAAGTTGTTTGTACTGGGCCTCCCAGCACCTGTCACTTCTCAGTTCTCTTCTGAGCTGTCTGGAAATCTGTGTCATCTTCCCTAAGCTCAGCTCTCCCTATTTGCACTACTTGTTAAACCTTTACTGTTTTAGGAGCATTCTGAGGAAAAAAACAGTTTGTTCTTTGCTTTTTGTTGCAACCAATTACCTAAATGACTACAGGTCAGCTAGGTTTGAGGTCACTTCAATATGATATCCCTAGGTGCAGCCGTGTGTTTAGCCCTGTTCTTGAACCACCTTTGCTTTTGGAGCTAGCAAAGAAAACATGTTGGAAAGTGCCTACAAGCTGGCTGGGCATCTCGTTTCGGGCTGGTGGAGGAACGTGTCGCAGCCCTGTTCCTTCATGCTGGCCCCTCGATGTTCTTCTGCCCCGGGTCACCTTGTAGGTGTTGCTATTGCTGATGTTCTGCTCGTGCTGCCCCGCTCGGTGGGGGAAAGAAGCCCTTGGGCTGGAGGCCGAGCCCGGGAAGAATGCAGACAGTCTGGCAGAGCGCAGGTTAAATAAAGTTTGCCTTGGCAGGGCCCGTGCTCTTGGCCGTGCTGGGAGGGAATCGCAAGCACGAGCGGCGGCTGCCAAGAGGAACAGGGCTCTCGGCCCTGTTCGCGGCCTCCTCGGGGCTCTCGAAGCGCTGCCGAAGCCACGAGCCCTTCCCGGGCTCCTCCGGAGCCTCACGGGGATGAGGAGTGAGGTCCTACCAGGTTCTCTGGCCCCCAGCACCAGGGAGACCAAGGTCCTCCTCATGTCAACGTGTCCCATTGGCCTTGGTGGCATCGGGGACTTGCCCTTTGACCTGTCATCATCCTGGTGGTAAGTTTGGACTGACAGCAGTGCCCTTTGCTGTGGAAGTGGCTGTGGCTTTGTGGCCATTAGGACTATGTCACTTAAGGGATCATATCCCTTAGGTTTCCTCTGGGGACCAGTTAGCCCTTCAGGAACCATTGCGCAGCAGCGGGATGAGATTTATGGTGGCTCTTGGTTTTTTTCTGTGATTTCACATACATCTTTGTAAAATGGGGCTTTTTCTACTTACTCCTGATGTTTTTACAACCATTAATTAGCCGAACTTCCTGCATGTTTGACGCACACGCTTGGAAACTGCAAGCGAACATCCCCAGCAAGCGGATTCCCTCTGGATGAAAAGCTCCTGAGCCTCATGGAAAGCTGGGGCTTTGCTGGAGCCCTCTGTCCTTCTCTGCTTGCAGGTGGCTGGAGGTGCAGGTGATTAACCTGACCTGCACCCAGCGCTGGGTCCAGTACCTCCAGTTGCTGCAGGAATCCATCTGGCCCGGAGGAGTTTTGCCAGCGCTGCCTAAACCCGCCAGGACCCAGGAGCAGAAGGCGGCGGCAGCGGAGCAGGCCCTGCAGAGCTTGATGGGGCTCCTGCCCGGTGAGCATCCCGGGGCTTCCTGAGATCCAACAGGGATGGGTTGGGAAGCCAGGACCCCGCTGGGCTTTGGAAGGCAGAGGCGTTGGCTGCTCGCGCCGCTCTGGAATCGTTAGCTCCGGCTTCCCCCGGCTCGAGTGTGACACGGGGACCTTTGGCATTAAAGCGGCTGCTGCCTAATCCGTGCGAGCGCCGTTTGAACTTTAACTCCTCGCTCCAGCTGAAGGGGCCCTTATTATTCCTTTTGGGAGGAAAAAAGTGCTGCTTCTATAGCCCCTTGCAGGCTGCCCCGCTTTGCTTTTTGCTCAGCTCCGTGCCTGACTGTTCTCTCGTGTGATGATGATGATGGGGACGAGGTACCTTGCACTGAAAGTACCATCATAAACATCTATTTAGCCCCCGCTGGGAGAAGGTTGACCTCGTTTCACTACAGTGGAAACGTGCTGTTCCTAAAGGCTCGTCTCTCTCGTTAACAGATGTGATCCAAGAAATCCTGGGAACTACTAAATGTCGTCTGAGCTGGAATCTGGTCCTGGAGTCACTGGGTCAGCCCATCATTAACAGGTACTTCTAATTAGAGCCTCCTTAGCTTGAGATAGCCTATGTGGTGGGGTCTGTGAGATGTCCTTGGGACAGATTCGCAGGGCCAGGTTCTTGGCTCAGCATAAACTGGTGGATTTTTCTGGGTTCCACATATTACCCAAGGGAATGTGAGGTGCGGCTTAACCATCCAGGCACAGATTCCATTTAGGATATGAGACCTTTGGTCTGGCCACCCCCTGATGGCAGCCAGAATACTTCTCCGTGCTGGAGCTTTGGTGTCTGCTCCCAGAGTTGATCTCCCAGCTCTGCTGCACCCTGGCCACCCTAAACTTCCTCTTCTCTCCCTTCCAGGCACCTGGTTTTCTGCCTCTTGGACATTCTGCTGGAGTTCTTGGTCCTGAAGGACTCCAGCGCCGAGCCCGACACAGCAGCTGCTGCCCCATCTGCCTCTGGCAGCCCGGAGAAGGCAGAGATGTCACCACATTAACCAGGCTGCGGGGCCAGCAGCGAAGGAGAGAAGAAGCCACAGGCGTGGGATGGTTGATCCCTCTCTTCAGCATTTGCTGAACCTACCTGGGAGCTTCTTGGGAAGAATTTCTCCAGTGCTACATGAGGCTTCTTCCAGGCTTCTCCGTTTTGCCTGGGTCAGATTAAAGCCTGTGTCAGTGGCTGGAGGTGTTTTTCTGCCGTAGAGTGTCTGTCCCATTGCTGACATGGTGGAGAGCCTGGATGGAAGATACCAGCTTCTGCTGAGAAGGACCTGTGGGCTGGCCACAAAGCTCCCTTGGAGTAGTTTTGTGTCCAGTGTGTCTGTCCCACCAGAAGGAAAGTGAGGGGGAAAAGGAGCACGATGATAAGCCCGAAGTCAGTCAGGAACCCATCCCTCTGTTTCCAACTACTTGGAAAACCAAGGAGATGCAGGAAACAAAGTTACTGCCCTAGGGACACAGGGGAGCTGCCTCTCGCACCAGCATGTTCTTCTGGCCCAAACAGAGGGAAGCAAATGGGGTAGACTGTGATTTGGAAAACAGGACAATCTGACATCCAAGAGCATCCCAGATTTCCGTGGTTTTTCAAGCTTACCTGTCAAATATGTTGCAGAGCAGATGGACAAGGATGGACACACCAACAGATCTGTTCCTTTCCGGATACGAGTCATCAAACTGGCCAGCACTGGACTTTGTTCCCTGCTTCCTGGCACTTGCTGTGGGTGAAAGCACTCCAGAAGACCCTGCAAGAGAGAATTGCACAGGACCACAGCTGATTTTGATGTGTGGTAAATACTGGGAAGGATTAGATTACTGCCAGCGAGTATATTTTTAGGGAGCACCAAGGACACCCCTAGACCAGGCAGAATCCATTGAAATGAAGCAAAGCAGTCTTTATTTTCGTTAGCAAAGCAATTTCTCAATATTGACTCTTCTGAGAGCAGACTTGCCTCAAGTTTGGTAAAGGGGAGAGCTTGTATGTCAAGTAGCAACGAGCACATTAGCCAAAGCACCGGAGGATATTTTACATGGGCTAATCCCATATGGCCAAGGAGGATGTCCATGGGCCCAGCATTCCTGTAGAGCCCCTCTTCACCCTCTTCTTTACTCCTGGTTTCCTCCTTTTTCTCATGGCGTTTTGCAGGCGGGAGGCGACTGCCAGAGCTTGCTCACGTGGCCAAGTGACACGTTGGAGGAGCTGGGCCGGAGAGATGGAGCGAGTTTACGGAGCGCACGCGCTTCCAGCCAGCCGCAGAGCCCGTCTGGGGTGAGATCTTTGGAGTTTTCAACTCCAGAACCCCCTTTTCCTTTTTTTAGGGCAAGGAAAACAGAAACTAGGATTTCCAGAGCCCCTTCTCGTGCTCTTGCTGGCTGGACTTTAATCGCCTGTTTTCTTCTCCGTGGATCTTAGGCCATTCTCACAGCTGAGAACAAGCAGCCCAGGAACAGCATAGGAACAAGTAGCCCCTCTCTGTATCTTGATGTTAAGGAGTACAAAACCCATTAAATTTTTTTTTCTTAATGTCATTTCTTTCCTGTGCTAGTGTTTTCAGGTGAAATTAAGCTCAGCAGTGGCCAACTTCTGCACTGAAGTGGGGTGGAAGTTTATTTGCTCTGGATTACAGCTTTGGTAAAGCAAACGGCCCACAAAAAAAATATTTTACTCTGTAATACTCTCTGTGTCTGCTATCTGTGGCTTCTGCCATTCACATTTCCCCTGGAGCAGTGCTGTGCTGAGAACGTTTTTTGTGGTCAACAGGGAGCAACCCAGGGCAGAGGACAGGCTGGAAAGTTGTGGTTGGGGTGGGAAGCAGAGGGGTAGTGCTTGGAGGAAAATCCATGTTTATGGTGGAATTCAGAGCCCGTGTTTGCAGCTTGGTCAGAGAGGAACGGTTCTCCCGTCTCTGGTGCCAGCAACTTTGCTTCTCTCTCTCCCTGATAAGCCAACTTCTTGATGTAGGATTTCCAGGGAGCCTGGAACCAAAAAGGCAATTTGGAGAGCTGGAAGAAAAGGTGCAAAACACCCAGATTCTCTGATTGTCGTGGTAGTGCAGACTTGTCTGCACATTTCTTGAGCTCTGCCGTGTAGGAAGCTCACGTTGATATCAAGCCTGTGGAGGAAAGCTGGTAAGCTACAAGGCAACAGGAGAGAATGTCTCAAAAGGAAACAAGTTCCATATGAAAGTCGAAATATTACGTGGAGGGGGGAAATATGGAGGAGGAAAAACTTGATACAATGAATGCTTGGGTCATGTGTTATTCTAGCTTAGCTCTGCCACAGAGAGATCCTGAGCGCCCGATGAAATCCATCACCTACGAGTGGGTGAACATTTGTGCAGCACATGATGCAGGGATCACAGCCGAAGCCAAGTTCCCCTCTGTAATATCCACCCCAGGGTAGATTGGGCCCTTTCCAGTGTCAACAGCCGGAGGATTAAGCATTTATCTCCGCGGAACAGTGCGTAATTAATACCAGATCGAAGCAGGGTGCACTCGAGAGAACTTGCTTGCGACTGAAGTGGGGACTGAGTGTGACTGTAGTTCTGCAGGCAAGTTGGGGGACAGGCACGGCTGTACTACGTGGATTGGTGTTGTCTGACTGACGTGTACCTTGTAGCAGAGCATCAGGCTTCTTCAGAGAGGATGCACATGCTCATTATGGCCCCCTCTAGCAAAGCTTTAGAAGAATAAAATCAGGATGCTGCAACTTGTCGTATTTCGGACTTAAATATAAAATCCAGATGTTGGCACTTGAGGCTTTCTTGAAATAAATTAATGCCATTATCCTGGCCACATTCCAATTCAGGTAATTGGATGCTTCCTACCTTAATGCTGCTCCCTCTCGCCACTGGATATGCAATGTTTTAATTCCTGTCTTGGAGCTTGCTTATTGTGTTACCATTATATATATATATTTTCCTTTGAGTGCAACTTGTGCACTAGCCAGTCTCCTAATGCTATGCCAAGCTGCTAAAATAGTCTAGAGAAACCTGCCTCGTCCGTGCCTGATGGTGTCCTGGAGCATCTATTCTGACTTGGAAGCCTGTTGAGCTGAGAAAAAGTGGGTACCAAATAATTATAGCAAATGCTGCAGTCTTATTCAACGCATAGTAGACAGGCTAGAAACCCACTGCTTTCTTTTTTGAGCGTTGGTGGATGTGTTAATGGGAGAAACCCGGAGTCTTGTGATCCATGAGGCTTTGAGTATCCGGTTTCCTTTTTAAGAGCGCCGTTTCCTTGTCCACGTTGGTGGCTCCCTGGCCTTTCCACCCTCCGCAATTGGTGCGTTGGGCTTTTTCTTTTCTTTTTCTCCTTTAAGGAGTATTTAAAGCCGTCTTCCTTCCTTACCCTCTCAAGGCCGCGCTCTCTGTCTCCTGGCCTCGCTGAAAAGGCTCCTCGAGGAGTGCTTGGGCACTCCAGCATCCTTCCTTCCCGTTCCCAGGCCTCTCGCCTCCGCCGCGGCCCTCGAGGACAAGGGCGTTCGCGGGACCCTCGGGAGGAGGGACAGCAGGGGTGAGCATCAAAGACCAAAAACCGCTATGAAAAAATAACGCCGGCCACTTCTGCTGGCTCTCACATCTGGCAGAGCCTCATTAACCTTCTGTTTCCCCCTCGCACTCCTTTAGCCCCTGAAAACCAACAGAGCCAAACATAACAAGTTGCCCCCGTTGAAGAGGGCTGGAGTGTGTCTGCCTACTATGAAAAAGCAATGGGCTCAAGCCACTTCACATTGATTATGCTTGAGGATGGAGCCCTTTAAATGCTGATGCTCTTTAGAGCCCAGCTCTTTAACTTTCCCCTTCTCTTGCAGCCTTCACTTTTCCCTCTTGTTCTGCTCCTTCCGCTCTCCTTTCTCTTTTTTTGTGCTGTGAGAATGAGTCCTTTAATCCCCTTGTACTGCAGATTAAAGCTATTAGAGCCTCCCCAACCTGACATTTTCTCAGGGAGGCTCCCAGCCAGATCTTTATGAGGACTCGCTTTCTGTCTGTCTGCTTTTGCCTTTCTCCTTGGCAAGCTGGCCCTCCGTTTCTGACCTTTCCACGAAGAGGAACGGGCTGCAATGTGCGATCACACGTAGGCAGGAACTGAAGACGCGTGAAAATTGAGGAGTAAATAAAGAAAAAGCAATGGGAATTAAGAGTCCGTTTGTCAGCAACTGCTTGTACCCCTAGTCTGATGTTATGTAGCCCTGTAAGGCTTTACCTGAATCTTCCTTGCATCCATTTATATATGGGTTATCTTTACACACCTTGTAAAGGGATAAATGGAAAATTTGCTTATTTTTAAGAGCGAAGGCCAAGTCCTTCACAAGTCCTGCATTCAAGGGCTCGTAGCTTCGATTTAGTACCTCTGGATTTTGCAGAAATAGGTGGGCGACGCTATACAAGATTTCCCATCCTTAGGATCTGCAGCAGCCCGGAGCTGTGCGATCACCTCATGCCACTTGCGCGCTTCACCAAAGCGAAGGCAGAACATTAAATATTTTTAAAAAAAAAAAGATGGAAAGTAGCAGAATTGCTTTCAGGGTAATAACTAAATGCGCTTAGCTCTCCCCGGTTGGAAACCTGTTGTTTGGGGGCAAAAGTTCCCCGCTCACCCAGCTGGCTGGTAATGAAACGGGAAGCGGGCGCTTGCCCCCGTACGTGTGAACCACGACGAGCCCCCCGCCATTCCCAGCCCTGTGGCCTCGTCTTTCTCTTTGTGTGGGCCCAGGGGTCCCCTCCTCGGTCCCCCCCGGCCCCCAAACGCTTTTTAAGAGGATATGGGTAATGAAAAATCCCCGGGTGGTGGCGGAGGACAAAAGGCGATATGAAAGCGCGCCGGGCGGGCCCAGGCCGCTCTTATGGCTGAAGAAGCCGTAGGGAGAAGCCATGGGGTTGGAGCGGCCCGGCCGGGCTCCTCAGCAACCGCCGCGGCCGGGCCCGTCTCGCATATCCACCCTCAGCCTCCTGGTTGCTGGGGTGAAAGGGCCTCTTCATCTCCACAGGGAGAGCAGGAT